AATACTTCATGTTTATGATGTGAAAATGATTTATTGAAGCGTTTCTCTGAGCCGTCCTTTGAGGCATTTTACATATGTTATTTTATTAATTTTCAGAGCAATGTCCCCGTAAACTAAGTGTCATTATTATTCCTAACATAGAGATGAGAAAACTGAGACTTGGAGAGATTAACTAAGTTCTCCAAAGTTACACAGCTAGTACCTAGCATGCATTTCCACCCATATCTCTTTTTTTTTTAAGATTTTATCTTTTTAAGTGATCTCTACACCCAACATGGGACCCAAACTTACAACTCCAAGATCAAGAGTCACATGCTCCACCGACTGAGCCAGCCAGGCTCCCCTACGCCCATTCCTTTCCCTTGCCCAAGTCCATGCTTTTAACTATTGTGGTTATACTAGTTAAGGCAGCCGCAAACTTGAACACGCATCAGAATTACCTGGAGGGGCTTCTTAAAACACAGATTGCTGGATGACACTCCTTGAGCTTCTGATTTGGAATGTTGGTGGGGCCTGAGAATTTGCCCCATTTCCAACTAGTTCCAGCAACCTGCCACAATAACATGCTGCCATCAGCGTTTTAATTTGTAAAGCAATCATCAGATATAAAGTAGTTAACTCCTACTAAGTCATTAACATGCAAATTCAGCATATTAAAACACGTACGTAACATAAAATTTTATTGAAAGATATTTTTATTTACCTGACCCTAGAATCTCTAATACAGAACCTACTTCTAATCCCCACCATGTACTTCAAGCAAGGCTGAATTTCTTCCTGGTATAAGCTCTTTACAGCCTTCACAAAATTAAGAATATTCACTAGCATTGCAGAGAGCGAAGTATGTACTATACACATATATACTCAATATATATGTGTGTGTGTGTGTGTATATATTGAATTCAGTGAAGCCTCAGTTTGTCCTAACTTGATTGTAGACTTATTTTCTTAACTTAAAATAATATTCAATCTGTTTAGCAGAAAGATGTTCTCTCTCTCTCTGCTGTAGCTCCTTTCTCTGTCTCAGCCCCATTCAGACACCTTTTCACAACTGTTCTCTCATTGCCCTATGACATACCTGATTATCAACCTTTAACACTTCTTAAATGGCCACATAACATTGGCACTACGCTCTATGAGCCTATCAGCCATAATCTAATTTTTTACTTCAGCAAAAAAAATCACATAACCCCTTTCGGGCTGTTGTGGGTAGTTCTCCCGGCACACCACAGAGGTAAGCTACGGTTTACACTGTTTTCTGTCTCGATGATTCATATGCCTAGAAGATTCAGTTTGATTACTGAGCCAGATAGTTATTTGGTGACCCATAGGTAATGGGAGGACTAGGGCAGCATTAGCTAGTTTCATAAACCATGAAAAACCTGCACAATTAGTGTTACACTTTTGAATTGGAGTCAAAATCCAGATGAGCGCTGGCACACGTAGCGGGTAAGAAGAGGCTGGCACTGCTTTGGTGTTACCCTCCGTGGGGCCATGTCTACAACCCCAAATCCTTGTATTTATTTGTCAAGGTGCTGCACTTTAAAATAATAATAAATCGACAGAAAAACAAAGACCACGAGCTCCTTCTGGAACAAAATGTTGCAGGTACAGTAGTAAAAAGTCCTGCCAGCCCCAGAAGAGATGTGACTTTCTGAGGAAAGTGGATAATTTTTACTTGATGGTGAATCGTTAAAAGTGAGCCAGATGATTAAACTTAATGGAACAGCCACATTAAACTGAAATTAGTAAAAACATGCCTTGGGCAGCCTACAACCTTTTATTTGTTGTTGTTTAACTTCTGCCTTTTACAGTGGCCATGATGAATGACATCACAAAAGAAAAAATCCAATTAAAATCTAAGTGCTCAATAAACCCCTAATTTCTGGTTGCCACCACCACGTTCACTAGCACTGATGTGTTGTGTTTCCTCTTTTCTCCAAGAAGAGAGACAAGAACTGGCCCCAGGGGAATTCAGTGGAAGGAGAAAGAACACATAAAGGCTTCTGGAGGTTTCTGCTCTCTGCACTCTATCAGACATAGGCACTGCACTTCGAGGGGGATGAGGTTAAACTGTTTTATTATCAGACAATGCCTGAGTAAAGAGATGCATTTTCCCAGTAGTTTTCAAATATTGATAAGTCAGAATTGGGATCTGGAGAGCAATCCTGTTCCTCCTCTTAGGTGGTGTCTCCACTGCCCTTTCATACTGTCTCGGATGTTTGTTCTATAAGTCATCGAAATGGTCTCTCCTGACAGCTAAAAATAAGTTTCTGATTACTTTTACCTGAATAAATCTTGTGACCAGATGTGGTATTCACCTACTAAGTTGCAACAATTACAATATTGAGAGTGATGAAAGAACCGGCCAAGGGAAGTCTACAATCTTGTGGAAGGTGGAATCTAATATATCACATGGGAAGACAGCAGTTGCCACCCGGTAGAAGAATACTAGCTTTTGATGACAGATTTTATCTTAGAGATACCATGTGTTTGTAAAATTGGGTTCTCAACAACAAACTTCTCAAAGTCAAAATAAGAGCCAAAACGTTCTTATTACGAACGAGGGGCTAATAGGAATGATATCTTAAAATGCGCTTTTACTGCATGTTTATATAGGAATTAATATAGTATTTGGCCATGGACTCTAATTAGATCTTCCTGATAGCCTGGTCCTGTGCTTCTATTAACCTCATTTTATTGATAAGGATCTTGGCTCAGGGAGGCTAATTGACTCTGCTATGATCTTACACTTGGTGAGTGAGAGAGAATGAACACAACTCCTATTTGGGACTCTGGTGCGGTGCCCCCTGCACTGTGCCAGGTTTGCTAACCATGGCTGCCCGGAAGCCAGATCCAATGGGCAGTGATGTTGGTTTCATTACTCATGACTTAATGAAATAGCTTTTTAAGAGCTCTCTTCAGTCATTAGAATTTGACAATTGAGAGGTAAAGTTTCCCCAGTGGCTCTTTCTGTGTAATCATGGTTTCAACATTGCCTTAGCATATCACATTACACAAATCATGGAGTCCTCTTTTGTTTTACATTTCTTATTGCGTTTGTCTCACTTCTAAGCAATTCCCTCCCCGTTGCCATTTATCTTCCATTATTTCTGCCAAATTGCTTTCAAGGCTACTAATTGTATGAATAATATTCTCTTCCTCAAACTCTGCTATTAACCAGCATTAGCTGTGTGGCATTGGACACAGTATGCCTATCTCTAAAAACAAGAAGGTTGCACCGAGTAATCTATGGGGCCTCTTCTTGTGCTCAAGTTCTAATATTCTGACTTTCACACAAGGTGTGTATATGACTTTGAAAACACTCCATAAACCGGAGCCTTGGTTTTCTTGACTCCACGATGATGGATTCAGTTAGCTCACATTCCCCAAAGTGTGTTGGAAAACTGTCCTCAGGAATGCCAACACCCAAAAAGGTTTCTTCACACAAGAATGTTGGGAAACCTAGATTAAATAAAATCAAGTACAGTTTTAAACTGTAGGCATTCACTGCCTTTAATATGTTAATGTACACTGGGTGACTCCCAAGACAAAGATAGAAAATGAAGTATTTCCCAAACATGGGAGCAAAGAACCCCTCTTCCTTAGCACTTTGTATAAACGATAGTCCGTGAAATATACTTTTAGAAAGACTGGATGAGCTTATTTTAAGAGTCCCTTTTTGGCTTGAGAGTCTGTTTTCAAATGTCTCAAAGACACTACTCTGGGCATTTTGTGTAGTGTGAATCAACAGGACACAGTTGCTTACCTGTTGCTAGTGTTGCCGCTCTTGTAACACAACCCGTACTCTGTTTAGACAGAGCTAAAATAAGGTTTAAGGATTACCTGCCTTCTCAATAAATTATCTGGTCTGTATGTAGCTGATACTTATAATTGTGACCTTAAAATAGTTTCCTTGATTTTCGCTTCTGCAAATTTGTGAATAGGGTTAGCTTATCTGAAGACCTAGGAAAAATACTTTCTAAACTTTTGCTTAGATAGAGAAAAGGGGATTTAAGGACACAACAGGAACTCAACACTCTTGAAACCATCTCTGAGATAGGCAACGTGGGCAAGTGATCCAAGATAGAATCATTAGCTTCTACTTCAATGGTATATGAGCATTTGCTTAATTCAACCTTTAACCCAGACCCATTTCATTGACACTTAATCTCATCAGAGCCTCTGCTTGATTACCTTCAGGAGCAGGGAACCCACTACTTCATAAGGCAGACTATTCCATTTTAGTCTGGCTCCACTTTTTAGAATATCCCCACCTATATTAAATGAAATTCTGAGTATTAAATGTTCTTGTTCAAAGTGACCTTGTAAATTACCCAAGGGATTTTCAAAGCACTGTTCATGGCAACACTTAAGATGTTTCTCAAGTGCTTTGAGTTGAATTTCATGCATAATTAAATAAATATCATATCTTCCCAGAAAAGTGATTATAAACTCCCATCATACTCAAAGAGACTGAGTAGCTTCCCTAAATTCACCAAGATAGGAATATATAGAGGCAGAATGTACTCAGGTCTCTGTTTCAGAAATCAAAATCCTTTCCTCAAGAGCGTATCGCTGCTCTTGTATGTCCAGATACATAAAAGTGAGGAGGAGAGTGTACTTGTAGAATCTGAATGCTGTCATGAAAATAAGAGTATAGTGAAAAAAGTTTCGTTCCAACCAGGCTAATATGTCCTTGGGTCAATTGCTATTACTCTGGCCTTTAGAATTCCCTTCTTCAAAACAAAGATTACTGAATTTTCTATAAGCTCTGTTCCAGTTCTGGAAATTTCTATAATTGTAAGGAAACATATTCTTTAATGAATGGCATTACTATTGAGGGCTTAATTAAACAGTAAAAGGAAAAAAGAAAACCTCCAAACCTGTATCCCTCAGAAAGTATTGAATGAAAGTTGACATAGCAAGCATCATAAAGACAAACAGTTTAGAATCACATGCTTGACTTTTACTTTCTTTAATTTTTTTTTCTACACTAGTTACATTCAGACCAGGATAGAGGAGATGGATCACTTAAATATATCCTTTCAGGAGATGGAGCAGGAGATCTCTTCATTATCAATGAAAACACAGGGGATATACAGGCCACCAAGAGGCTGGACAGGGAAGAAAAACCTGTTTACATCCTTCGAGCTCAAGCTATAAACAGAAGGACAGGGAGACCCGTGGAGCCTGAATCCGAATTCATCATCAAGATCCATGACATCAATGACAATGAACCAATATTTACCAAGGATGTTTACACAGCCACTGTTCCCGAAATGTCTGATGTTGGTGAGTGAGATGCAATTTCAACCACACAATGTTTCTCCTCTAGTACATCAACTGAATAAAGGATCCTATGAGTGAAATTTGCTGAGCTGAGTGAATTTAGATGCTAAATTCTAAAACTATCATATTTCAAACAATTCCTTTATGACCTTTTTGTAAGTGCACCTGCGTTTCCTAATGTTACTTTAGTCTCATTTTATCATTATCTTTAAGAAAATAGCATTTCCTCTAATGATAAAGGGATGAAAAATGGCAGGCAAGAACAGGAGGAAGAAAAAGACATCACCTCATCTACTTCCTACCCCCCAAGTGCCCACTCTGCTCCTCACGCTGAGAGACAGCAGCCCTCTCCACCTCTCTTAGCACATGTTGGTACTGGGCCTGAGGTGAAGATCTCCCCAGTGTAAAACAAAAGCCTAATTTACAATCCAGACTCAAGAGTAATGACAGTTGCTTTAATTAACTATGTATTTGAGAAAGAGCCCCAAAGAAAATTTTTTTTTAAAATCCATAAACAATGTGCAGATAATGATGTCTAGGGGATATATCCTTTATTAAGTGATGGATATTAAAAGATTTTCATGACATTAATACAGTGAATTAATATTTTGTGCACAGTTCTACCAATTTCAAAGTTAATAAAGTTTGCCTCTAATTTGCTTAAATTGGGAGAAGGTCAATAGAATTTAAATTTTAAAAAATCCGGGATCCCTGGGTGGCGCAGCAGTTTAGCGCCTGCCTTTGGCCCAGGGCGTGATCCTGGAGACCCGGGATCGAATCCCACGTCGGGCTCCCAGTGTATGGAGCCTGCTTCTCCCTCTGCCTGTGTCTCTGCTTCTCTATCTGTGTGACTATCATAAATAAATAAAAATTTAAAAAAATTTTTTTTTTAAAATCCTACTGACATCAGTCTTAGCCACATTAAAATACTTCATGGGAGACATTGATAAATTTTAAGCTACTTGAACCAAGAGCTATTTTTATTTTCATTCAGTATCAAACTCAGAAGGGCTATATTACATAATAATAACTTTTCTATAATTCTATGAGTCAGATATCAGAGGCGTGTTGGGTCACAGTTCCAAGACTTGGAAAAACCTAATCCATGGAAATTATTGTAAACCCTCTAAATCTTTCTCATCAAGAAGTTGCTCATCTCATTATTAAAGCCACTCTGTATTTTCAGAAAAACCACAAACCATCAGCAAAGCAAAAAAGAGGGATTAGAACTCTTTTAAAAGGAAGATTTTAAAAGGAAGATTTGTTAGGAAAAAGTATTTTTCCTCTATGCGGTAAAAGGCAGGAAGCATTAATGGAAGATAGTCTCATCGTCAGCACCACCCAGAAAAACAGTTTCTAGAAAACAAAACTTGATGTGCAAGGTGTCCCTGCACAACTATGGGGGTGCCATTCACTTCTGAAGCCATTATAGAATTAAGTATGTATTACAAATATTTGGGGTAGCTAGAATTAACGTGTCTTGAGGAAGGAAAGTCTTTCTAATTTGCACACAGGCACAGTTACGTTCATATTAACCATTATCATAAATTAACATGTCATTATTATGATATAAAAAGCCATCTTAAAGAAATGACATCATGACTGGGGGACAGCAACAGGGTGGTATAAATGCACTTTGATGTTAAACAGACCTGAGTTTGAAACTCTACTAATAAGCAGCAACTCGATGTCTCCGATGCTTCAGTTCCATATGTACAAAAATAATAAAGGTCAACACCTAAGGATTATCATGAAGATGAAATGAGAAAACAGGTGCAGAGCCCCAGTATAATATCTGGCAACTAACAGGGGCTTAAAATCCAGACAATCATATTCTAAAGCATTCAAACTTAATATTGATGTCAAATAAGAATGTGGGTGTTTGTTCATTTCTACTCTTAGCTCTTGCTCTAAAATCATATAAATGCTTTCATTCTCCCCACCTTCCTTCCCATATTACAAGGATGGGTGATCTATCTCAGGCATCAACATGCTAAACCCAGAGCATCCAACCCAAACACAGCACAATATACTTGCCCAGCAAATGGGATTGTTTAGCTATTACAAAAGCCATGTAAAACTTCCATATTCCCTGATTGCACCTTCCCTGCCCTTTCCATGGACCGGAGACCTCTAACAGTAAGCTTACTGTTTCTCTGATATGAATATCGAAAGTCAGCCATGAAATGATCTTCATCAGAGGGTCTTACCCTTTTTGGAAGTTACAGATCCCCATGAGAATCAGGTAACATCTATAGATCTCCTCTTCAATGAAATATACATGTAAGCATACACATACAAACTTGTGTGGAATCTCATGGGGGTTATGGATACATTGATGATCATTAGGTGACAATGGTCCTTAAAACAAGAATGCTTTTCTAAAATACCATAGCCTTCTTTGTGCTTTTTTTTTTTTTTTTTTTTGGAATTACAGTTTCCAGATGCGAATGCTCTAGTATTCTAATTTAATCCAACACTATCTCTTTTAAGGTTTAAGGTCTTTCAATCTCCTAGAATTATCAGTGGGTACTTTTATTTGCAAGTAACAGAAAACCCAAATAAACTAGTTTAAACAAATACAAGTATTTATTGACTTAAGTCATACTTAAGTCAAAAGCAAAGTGGGCTTCAGACATGGTTTGGTTTGGGTTCAACTATTCCTCTGAAATTTTCGTATCCTACTCAGCTTTGTCCTCAGGCAGGCATCTCTGAGGTCACAAAATAGCTGCTGCACTGACAGGATCTAGATCAGCACATTACAGTATAGGAGAAAAAGCACCTATGACACAGAATTCCCAACAAGTGGCTTCCTGATTGAAGAACCCCAAAAGTAATCCCTATAGACAAAGTAATGCAAGATGCTGACTGACTAGGTCTGGATAACTTCCAAGGATGACTGTACCAAGAATCCAATCAAATCTCATCCTTTGGAGATTGATTGGTATTGGTTCCACCCAAGGTCATGACCATCCCCATGCTTCTCTTTAACTTAACCTTTACAACATTTAGAAATGTTGATCACACTCCTTCAGAGAAATCCAAGGCTATTTAACCTAATACTGTCCTGAAGTTCTCCATTCCCTTGCCGTGAGAGTTTTGTACAAAAGTAAGATCATGCTTTCTCTTTCTGGCTATGCATCAAGGATCCATACGAACCCTTAATTCATTTTCAATTCATGTTTCTGTCATTACAGGCACATTTGTTGTCCAAGTCACTGCAACTGATGCTGATGATCCAACTTATGGGAACAGTGCTAAAGTTGTGTATAGTATCCTACAGGGGCAGCCCTATTTTTCAGTTGAATCAGAAACAGGTTAGATTTCCTTTTTTATCTTCTTTTTACAATCTATAATGTTAATCAACATGTTCAGCTGAGCTGGCATATTTCTTAATTTAAAAAGTCAGTGTAATTAAATTTTCTTAGTCATCTGCCAGATATCGACAATATACTTATAAACATGATATCTACATAATTTCAACCAAGAAATCTGACAATAGATGTTTCATCCATTATGTTTATATAGGGTAGATTCAGAAAAACTTCTACAATGTTCTTTTTCCTTCTGGTTTGGGCTGAGGTTAAAGACCAATCCCTTCTGATAGCCATTAGGGCTATTTACAAATATTCCAATTCCTCTTTTTCTAGTTATTTGGTATCTCTTTTTCCTCCTCTGAAGCTAGATATGGCTGCAAGATTTGTTTGGGCAGTATTTCAAGTCATTCCAAGCAGAACTTTTAGACCTGGTGCACAATCCACATTCCTATCCTCCTGCCACAGAGATCATGAATGGAAACCAATGTTGACACTGGTCTCCAGCCTGGATGTCTGTTATCCTTAGCAGAGCTTCTTGCTGGTGTACTCAGAGCATGAACAAAAAATTAATGTTAGCTGTGTTAAGCCAGTAAGATTTTGCATGGTTTGTTATGACATTGTCTAGCTCATCCTCACTGATACCATCCTAATCAACAAAATGGTTTCCTTAATGGATTCCTTTTTTTAAACATCTCATTCTTCTGCATTTTCTCCACAGAGCGGCATATTATCTTATGATGAATTGTTTCTTAGGAAATATTGCCTGTGCTGTACAGTAAATTCTACATATATTTTTGCTACCATAATAGGAGTCGGGTTCCTTTTGTACATTTTTCAAGCATCCATTACTGTTAGTAGAAATCAAAATTTTTCTAGATTACTACATCCAGTTGGAAATCGATGTGTTAAGAGGTGCAGTGAACTTGGAAAGAATCCTAAGGAAAAAGAAAATGTGGAGTTGAAAAACAATAAGGATGAAAAATTAAAAATATCCAATGTAAAGGACAAAAGCCTAAGGGGAATCTCCTGTGTTTAAATGGAGAAGTACTGTCCTTGGAGAAGGGGGGTGCAGCTGCATGGTCACTGAAGCCAGGACTACAGGAATAAGATTAACCTGTTGTCTACTCATGTTTAAAATTTAAAAAAAAAAAAAGATATTTTCAGCTTCATTAGTTGTTAAGCACTGGAATGTGCTACCAGAGAAGGTTATAAAGCCTTTAAAGCCTTCAAAGACTTTAAAGCCTATAAAGATTTTTGAAAGAATGTTGTTAATTTAAGTATAAAGCCTACATAGAGATTAGGCAAACTTTGAGAAGTTCTTTCAACTACTTATTTTATAACTACCTGACAACAGAGATAAATGTAACCCAACATAAGAACATTGGTCACTGCTGGGACCAATTGAACTAATGCTCACATCAGCTTTAGGAAACCTTAAGTTCTCTAGGATCATACAGGATGATAACTGTGGGAGAACTGATGCTGTGTTTTCTAAAGACCATAGTTTTGTAGTTTAGAAAATCCTCCCCCCCCAAAAAAAGAAAAAGAAAATCCTCCCAACATTCATTACGGTTGGTATAGTTGATGAGCAATTAGCCGATTCGATAAAGCAAAACTCAAGCTCAGTTCAAAGAAATGGCATAACAATTTCCTCATGGTACATTTAAATGTCTTTTACCAAGCAGCTATAGGAGGATAACATTGTACCACATGCCAAATTACATTTTGCTATGTTATCTTATAACACATGATATTTGTACTACCTACAATCTATCCCATTGTAGAATTGACTTGCACTTAACTCTCCTTGTACGATAGGTGTTTTTTGTTTTTTTTTTTTAAATAGACTATCTCCCCCATGTGGTTGTAATTTCCTTCAGCATGAAGGCTATCTACAATCAAACCATGTTTGTATAAATAAATAATTTGATAAAGTATTTTTAATACATCCCTTTCTAATTCTGAATTTCACATCTATAGGCATCATCAAGACAGCTTTGCTCAACATGGATCGAGAAAACAGGGAGCAGTACCAAGTGGTGATTCAAGCCAAGGATATGGGTGGCCAGATGGGGGGATTATCGGGGACCACCACAGTGAACATCACTCTGACTGACGTCAACGACAACCCTCCCCGGTTTCCCCAGAGTAGGAACATTTGATTGAATGAACTTCTTCAGTGCACTTTTGTAAAACTCTAACGTTAAGAATGATATTTATTTTCCATTGTTATTAATTATCAATATTGGTGACCTTAGTAAGAACCATACCTTTATTAGATGGGCAATTTCTGTTATGGTTATTGTTGTAAAGGCAACACAATTGTTTTATTTTTCCTTATTAAAAAGACTACCACAGACATAAATTTGCTTGTGCAGAACATATGTACACAAGCGTGCGGTGTTAGTTAGAAAAAAACTGACTTTATGTTTTGTGAATTTAATCAGTCCTGTAATCTCTTTTAAATCCTCACAAAGTTTTATAAGGGAAGGATTTATCATTTTACTGTTTCTAAAAATACAACTGGGGAAATAGTCATGTACTTAATCCATTTGTAATCATAAATAGTTTTCTACATTATGGTTAATTGAGATATGAAAAGTCATCTCTAAAATCATTAACTCTCATGACTACGTAGAAAAAAAAGAAGGAAAAACAACATTCTTAAATGCCCACTTTGTATCAAGCAGTATACTAGAGCCCTTCATAGAGAGTACTTCAAGTGGGTACTGGTTGTAATATAATATCTCTTCCAGGAACAAAATTCATTTCTGACCGTGATCTAAGAAAACTAGCTGAATCCTGTCTTCCAGGAGAAAATAGCTGCCCACCATTAAAAAGAAAGCCCACTTACCCAATCAAGGCATTTCTTTAAAGTTGGTCAGCTAACAGGGGCTTCTTTTATAATGGAGATACACATGGATCAACAAGAAATTGTTGAATTTTTAGTTTTTTTCAAGCACTTAGTCACAGTGAAATGCAAAAAACAGAATATCAAGCTGATTAAATGGGTAGGAGAAAGAATTTACAGGCCCTAAAATTCCCAGCCCCACCCCCAGAGGCCTGAAATGACAATATCAGGTTTGCCCAGGAACCTCCTTTCCAACATGGGAATGCCCTGGGGGAGGATAAAAGTATTCGCCACCACCTAGAAAACCACAGGACTGTCCCTCACTTTGCTCTGCTTGGAGAGCCCGAGAGCATTGCTGAATAATGTGCAGAAGGGAGTCACTCTAGAGGAAAACCTTGGCTTGTGTTATCATTTTGCCAAGGATGAGCCCTATGCTTACTGAATGGATTAACACTACTGCATGACTATATTCTAGTGGCGTCATAGTCTATGTCTTTTCCAAAATAATTTTGTTCTCTCTCTCTCTTTTGTCCTAAGTACATGCTGGTCTGGCATATATAAATTGAAACCCACACACAGTCTCCTTAAACTCATTTTGCAACATGAGGACATCAGAAAAATGTGCATCATAAAAAAAGGAAAAATGTACATCTATGAAATACAGGTTTCAAATCAGCAGTACAGATACAAGAATGGGAGAAACCTACGCATAGAAAAAATACTGTATTGAAATGTAAAAGAAAGGATTAGTAAGGAAACAATTAGGAGCTTTCTCTCTCCATGCCTCTATCTGTATCCCTAACTACAGCCAGACCAGCTCCCTGTATGAGAGAGACAGTACTTGGTTACACCCTCCAGATCGCTGTCATTTATTTTCACCTTCAGTTGTTATTAGCAATGACAAAAAGAACCCTTTTAAGAACTATCTCGTAATTGGCTCAGTCACAGGTCAGGTTAAATTCTTCCCCATTCTTTCTGCTAGATGAGTAACGGGGGCTTTGAAACCTTCTGCACCTCCCTCTAGCTGCTTAGTCTCTCCTGCCATCATACCGTGAGCCTGCAGGCCTATTTACAGGACAAGAAAAGTGTTCTCCATTTGCAAAGAGACAGGTCATGACAGAAGAAATATTCTGAACAATCATGAAAGTAAGAATGTAAGGAGGCTAGAGCACCATTAATTATTGTGAGGAAAGTACCAATCTGCCTGCATCCCAGTAATGTCTGCAAGAACTGTTAGAAAATAGGTTTTGTCTTTATTATGATAGAGTATCCTTCATCGGTGCTTGACTTGTATCTGTCTGGTGATTAATAGGTACATACCAGTTTAAGACCCCCGAGTCTTCTCCACCGGGTACACCAATTGGCAGGATCAAAGCCAGCGACGCTGACATGGGAGAAAATGCTGAAATTGAGTACAGCATTACAGAGGGAGAGGGGCTGGACATGTTTGATGTCGTCACCGACCAGGAAACCCAGGAAGGGGTTATTACTGTCAAAAAGGTAATGCTGTTTGTTAAATACCATGCAAATGAGACATTTACTTTTCTCTGCCCCCCCCCCAGTAAGTGGGGCAATTACACCTCACATGAACATTCCTCTAGGTTCTTCTGTTACTAATTTTTTTTTTAAACACCAAGTCTAATGGTTGGCTTTTAGAAGTCCTTGAGAATCTGATGCATTCATTAATTTCATACTTTTAATAAATGTTAAGAACCTTCTAATAAGTATAAATAAATGATATAAATAATACATATTAAAGTACATAAAATAAATATTGTCAATGAATAATAAATGAACAGTGTGCCAGACACTATTTTAGATGCTGGAGGTACAATGGTACCTTCAGCAGAATGGCCTCTGGTTTCACAGAGCTGCCAATCTAAGGCAGAAAGAGACAAGGAAACAAATTAACAAACAAACAAATGTATAGCTATAAATCCTGCTACATGCTTTGAATGAAGAGAGTAACACAAGCAGTGATAAAGATGGCCTGAATTAGAGAGAGAGAGGCTATAAAAAGACCACAAAAATAAATTAACACAAATTTCCAATGAGCTCTGTAGCTACTTTTTAGAACAACAATAATCATTTTTGTTTAATTTCTGAATTCCAATTTTTGCCCTATGTACTCATTCACTATTTACTCCTCAAATTTATCTAGCACCACGGAGCAGTACACAGAAGTGTGAAAAAAATTTAAAACCAATAAACTGTGTGCTTCAATATAAATATTTACTCAATATAAAAATATATTAATTTTGGTCACTTTTTTTTAATCACTGCACTGTTATCATGTGTGGTATAATATTTTCTCTCTCCTTTAGCACACTGTTATCTTTGCTGGTAAATATAAGCATAGGTGGACATAAATAACAAGAAAATTCTTTCCTCTTAAACTTTGGATTACATGTCTCAATACCTGGAAACACAATAAAACATGTTTAAGCGACACTCAGACCAATGTTTTATACTATAATATAATTAGGAAGCCCATTAGTGTGCATTAACCTTTTTAATTTTCTTAGTGCCTTATCAGATTCAAACTGAAATTTTGCCTAGCCGACTAAATCACATTCACTAATGCCTTGATTAATTGTGTTTCTAGTGAGCCTTGTCATATCATCATCTAAAACTAAAAGTCAGCAATAAACATTTGGGTTCACTATGTCTCCAGAAGTAGAGATACTTTTCCTAAAGACCTCTGACAGCAATGATCATTACTTTCGTTGGCAAGTAATTAGCCCAATGCCCTTATCAGGATATCATTTGGAATATTTTATCAACTCATGCACATGCAAAAAAAACCCACAAAAAACCAAAACCATATTAAATCTATTTTATCTCAATGAGGAAGAGGGGGTCATGGTACAAACATGTGGTTCTCTATTCTGGGTGCGCATCAGAATCATTCAGGGAGGTATTTGAAGGTATAGATTTCCACCCCCACTGCAGATATTTTAGTTTAATGATCCGGGGTGGGGTCCATATACTAGCAAATTTTTAAACACTCATTAAGTGTTCAATTACAGCCAGATATGACACAGAATAACATACTACGTATCAGCATATGACACAGAATAACATACTATGTATCTGCCAACTTGACCCTGACATGGCTCCCTCCAAATACAAGAACTTTTTTTTTTTTTAAGATTTTATTTATTGGGAACCCTGGGTGGCGCAGCAGTTTAGCACCTGCCTTTGGCCCAGGGCGTGATCCTGGAAACCCGGGATCGAATCCCACATCGGGTTCCCGGTGCATGGAGCCTGCTTCTCCCTCTGCCTGCCTGTGTCTCTGCCTCTCTCTCTGTGTGACTATCATAAATAAATAAAAATTAAAAAAAAAATAAAAAAATCCTCCACATAGCAAATTTAAAAAAAAAAAGATTTTATTTATTTATTTATGAGAGATACAGAGAGAGGCAGAGACACAGGCAGAGGGAGAAGCAGGCTCCATGCAGGGAGCCTGATGAAGGCCTTGATCCCAGGACCCCAGGATCATGCCCTGAGCCGAAGGCCACTGAACCACCCAGGCGTCCCTACAAGAACCTTTTAAAGGAGATCTTAAGGGGAGCCCTGGTGACTCAGTGGTTTAGCGCCACCTTCAGCCCAGGGTGTGATCCTGGAGACCCGGGATCGAGTCCCACGTTGGGCTCCCTGCATGGAGTCTGCTTCTCCCTCTGCCTGTGTCTCTGCCTCTCTCTGTCTCATGAATAAGTAAATAAAATCTTAAAAAAAAAAAAATGTTTAAAGGAGATCTTATGAGATTCCCTTGCAGGTTCCCTTCCTTGTCCATGCATGATACCTTGCACCCTTGCACCCACCTGTAAGGCAACAGTTTCAGCCCACATTTTTCATCAGGATGGTGTAGTATCTGAACTCCCATGCCTTTGCCCAATATCACACTACGGGGTGATGTCTCTAAGCAATACAGTCATATTCATTTACCCGTGGGATTTGCACTAAAAATGGCTCATGTGTTGTCTTTCTGTGTGTCTTGGTTGCTTCAAATATGTCTCTTTCTCCTACCCACCTCAAGCTCTTAGACTTTGAAAAGAAGAAAGTGTACACCCTCAAAGTGGAAGCCTCCAATCCTCATGTTGAACCCCGCTTTCTCTACCTGGGTCCGTTCAAAGATGTGGCTACAGTCAGAATTATGGTGGAAGATGTGGATGAGCCTCCCGTCTTCAGCAAACTGGCCTACATCCTACAAATAAGAGAAGATGCTCAGATAAACACAACAATAGGCTCAGTCACAGCCCAAGATCCAGATGCTGCCAGGAATCCTGTCAAGTAAGCACACTTCTGCGACACGTCTCTTTCATAAGCTTTAGCCACTTGCTGTGCAAGTATCATCTACAAGTTAGAAAATTAATCCTTTTTTCCAACGAAACACTTGTGTCTTCCTGAAAAACTACTCTAAACAGCATCTTCACTCTCCTTGCTCAACATAAACATTATTTTGGCAGCAGTGTGAATCTAAAAAACACAAAGTTTGAGGGGGAAACACAAAATGATCTATAGGAGTTTACTACTCACATAAAAATGGTATAAGGAAATACAACAGAATGGCCTGGAATTTTTCTCTAAGGTCTTAGATTTGTCAAAGAGTGACATGGAGAGAGCTCTGTGATTTTTAACAAACAAGACACAGAGCTGAGAGTCTGTTTCTCAAGTTTGCAAGAACCTCTCATGTAACACTTACAGGCAGAATTATGCTCCATTTGGATGCGTAATTTTTTTCTTTTTCAGACATGGATAAAAATAAGAACCATTTCATGATTATGTCTGTGAAATCCTGGGGAAATTAATAGAGCTGAATCATAATTTATACTGTGTAAGCAAGCTCTATTTTCCTTATACCTTAGCTGTAAATCACACTGCAAGAAAACCTCATTGCTCTTTGAACCCATAGATGCTTTAGTATTCTAGAATTTTATCATGAAAGCGCCGGAGTCAACAACTTCCAGCCTTGAGTCAGTAGTTTAGTTGACTAGATGAGAAAACTGCTAAATCAAAATATCATTGTATCAATTGCCCCCATTAAAAAAAGGGGGGGGGGCAGCAGACTGACAAGCTAGCAGAACTCTTGCCAGTGAGCCCATGGATAAATTCCAATCAGGGCACCTGCCATATGCCAGTTATGCTCTAGGCTTTAGAGATCTAACAGAGAACAGTATCAAGTCCTGATCTCATGAAGCTTACTTTCTTATTGTGGCAGACAGAAATAGGCCAGCAACAAATATGCAGTATTTCAGATAAAATACATTGCAAGCAGTAAAATAGGACAGAATATGGAAACAAAGGGTGTCCATACCATGGAAATGGGGTACCATTTGACATAACGTAATCAGGCCTGCCCTTGGTAGGAATTCATCTGAGTAAACATTGAAGGCATGAACCACTATGATGCCTGAGAGAACATTCCAAGAAGGGGGGGGAAAGGGTAAGGTCTGATAGCAGAGCTTGCTTGGCATGAAGGAGTAGCAAGGAGGCTTACCTAGAAAAGAATAAGCAAGGCGGGGAGTGGTTGGTAAGGTAGGAGGCAAAAGGGAGGTATGGTGGTGAGTGTGGCAGGTCCTGTGGGCATTTGTAGCTCTTGGTAAAGACTGGATTTTATTTGACTGAGGTAGGAAGCCACTGCAAAGCTTTGAAAAGGAGTATTACCTAATCTAAAACTACTTTTTAAGAGGATCACACTGGCTGCCGCATGAAGAATATTATTGCAGATAAAAAGAGTTAGAGGTTCTAAGGCAATCATTTTCTAACTTTTCAGCCATAAGCTCTTTGTTCAAATGAAACTTGATGGCAAGTCCCACATCTAAAACACAAAAATGGCTGGCTTATTCTCAGGGAATAGTTTAAAATCATTGGGAAAATAGACTCTGTTGTTTTATCATTCTACTGGAATATCTATAGACTCCTTGAACTGGACTATGGTCAACCCAAAGCGGCCACATGTAAGCTCCATGGATCAAGTGTTCTTCCATATACATTTAATATTATTAATAAGGAAAATGAATAACAGACTTTGTTGTGCAACACAAATAATTTTAAGTACTTTCACAATGATTCTCTCACTTGAAGTTTGTCCTAAGTGTATGGAGAAAAAAAAATCTTAGCAAGTCAATGTCAAGACCAATTTAAAAGTGTTAATGCTGGAAGTTTATATAAATATGAGCTTTGTTTCCTCTTTAATCAATCAACATGTTTTTAATTGAAAGAGATAATGCCTCCTGGGAATTCAGGCTACATTTTTGTCTATTTTATTTTTTATACTGAATACCACTGCATTATTTTATGTTTTATTAAAAGAAGTAGTTAGCTTGTCAGACTGGGTTGGCTGTCAGCTAATTTTGAAGTTTTTTATGCCAGCCTTTTCTTGGTACATATGGATTTCATATGTAGATATAGATTTAAGGATAAAAATACTAATAAGGGATATTGGTATATAAATTGTATTCCAATGAGCCCTTTTTTTAGGACAAACGTGATTCTTATATTGGGAAAGTTCATCCACACATAGTTTTTGGTTATCCAAGATGTAAATATTGAACAATTAGGTACTAGACAATATGTTAAGTACATAATTAATACTAGATAATCTTTCCCAGAACATTGATGTATTGTTATGCAGACACAAATATTTAATTCTTTAATTACATAAAATAATTTTCTTCAAGTAACTTTATCACAAATGCCCTTGACTTCCATGAAAGAGTCTTATAAAATGTCACTCTGAATAGACATTATGAAAAATTATTTGCAAACATACTTCCTTTCATGACCCACAAATCTCCCTGACTTGAGAGGCTACATTAGAAGACAAATTATTGAATCACAGAATATAATAAATTTCTGGGTGGGGGGGGGAGAGCTACCTAGCAAAATAATCTGCTATAATCATCTTAAGATTGATTACCTTGTTCCTTATCTGTTATGACCACAATTAATGTGACTGGGCGGTAAATATACTAGATATGAATTGAAATGACTTTGGAAAGAAAAACAAAAAACAGATAAGGCTTCATGTGCAAACATCTTTCCTAAACAATGTAAACATCTGAAATTTCCTATTAATTTTTAAATCTCCCAATTAAGGGAAATACTCAGGTACAATTTTGGTATTTCCTAAATAGTTACTTTCTCTTTAAAATCAAAAGCTGGCTTCAACTAAAAATTCCTCACCCCATACTCTTTATTTCAAAGGCTTAAACAGGAAAATATGATTACTTGTAAAACTTAAAATTATAGCAGGAAGAAAACAAAGAACAAGAAAAGATTACTGCTGTATATAATTGTAACAGCTTATAAAGGCAGGAAGCAGCACATCTTAAGCTTGAACTTTTCCATGAGGGAAAAAAATATTTGTAGCAATTATTAAATTTCTTGCAACATCTATGAATATTGAGATTTCTTTTGGGGTAGTTAGTTATGTGCTATAAATATTTATCATTCTCAAGTTAAAAATGAAGGCAGGTGATCAAGTTCAATGAGTTGCCTAAATTCTTAATAAACGTCGATTCATGACATAAATGGCAAAAATAATAGCTGTTTTATCTGCAGGAGATGAACCCTTAATAATAATATTAGGTTTACATAAACTAAAATTAAAATTGTAACCTAACTTGAGATATATACATATATATCCTTTTTTTTCTAAGATTTTATTTATTTATTCATGAGAGATACAGAGAGAGAGAGGCAGAGACACAGGCAGAGGGAGAAGTTGGCTCTATGCAGGGAGCCCAACGTGGGACTCGATCCTGGGTTTCCAGGATCACACCCTGGGCCAAAGACAGCACTAAACTGCTAAGCCACCAGAGCTGCCCAATATATTTCTTTGAACTTCTTAATTCTCTTTAATATCAGGTTCAAATAGCCTCCAATAATCAAATATATATTTTATTTTGCCCTGATAGATGACAAAAATATATTTTATTACAATATAATATATTATATAAAATATATATTATTTATGATATATTTATATTTTATAAATACAAATAATAAAATATATTTATTATAATTTACCAGTTACCAGTTTTATTTTTTTTACCAGTTACATTTTAAAGCAAAATAATCAATTGAAATAAAACCTTGAACATGGTACACTATTTATTACAAGTTAGTAATGTGCTTATTTTTCTTATAGCATTCATAATAAGTCTACATGTATATGACTAGTTAGGTCATTTACTTAATTGTATTTCTACTGAGCCAACATTTTTAAATCTCCCATCATGACATAAATTTTGAGACTCCAGCTGAAATGAGCAATTTTTTTCCTCTAATGACCTTAACATATCAAATGTCTCCTGAGTTTTCTCTTTAATGTCCCCTACATAAAATAGAGTGCAAACATATTTTCCCCATATATAGCTATTCCAAAAATTGGTAATAAATGTATAAGGAAAATAACATTTCTCAAACTCTCCTAGTCTTCCATCAATTTCGGTGTTGAAAACTCTGTCTTCCTTTGAATTCTAAGACACCTCTCAGTTTTCTTTGAATTCTCAAAACTCCTTAAATAGTTATCAAGTGCCTACTCTGCTCTGGGCACTGCTTTGGGCACTGTGGGTCTCCATTTTCCCATCATCTTTTAAGTGATCAGGTCCTTAATGTTTTTCTCTGTTCCCTAGACCTCTTCTTCCTAAACAATCAAATGAGAAATCTAAGTTGTCAATCCAGATCTTTTCCTTCCCGGACTTTCCTTGGACACATCAGCTTCAATATATCAAAATGGAAACTTAGGATCTTCCCCAAATTCTGTTCTTCTCTTCTATCAGTGTGTGGTCACACCAACCAACCATTCTCCTCAATTCAAACCAGTGATCTTTGCTAAACGTGACTTAGATTGGAACATTCCCCTGCTTAAAATCCACTGTAGATTCACATTGCTCTTGGAACAAACTTCAACTCCTTGCCATGGTCAGCCCATTCTTCTACAGTCCAGACTCTGAATCTCTCCCCAATCTCATTTTCATTCTTTTTTTTTTTAACATTTTCTTTATTTATTCATGAGAGACAGAGACTCCGATAGAGGGAGAAGCAGGCTCCCTGTGGGACTTGATCCCAGGACCCCAGAATCACGACCTGAGCCAAAGCAGACACTCAACCACTGAGCCACTCAGGTCCCTCCCAACCTCATTATCTCTCTCCCTTTTCCAACCTCACTAACTGCAGCCACACTAGCCAGTTTTTGCTTCTTTCTACATAATGATTTTAAAAATAAAGTGAATAACAGAAAACTAGACAATAACCCTACTTATGTACATAAACACTTGTGTACACATTAAAGTTCTAAGGTTCTAGAAATTTGAGTTAATATGTGACCATTACTATATACACTTGATACAAATTACCTATAAAAGAAACTTTATTGGTGATTCTCAAACTCGTGGAACTTGTCTAATGGGTTTACCATTAGGACCTCAATTGTAAAGAATTTCCCAGAATATTTTGCTTAATATTAACTTATAGATATGCAATATGTGCTACAAGTAGAAAAAAAAATCATGTAACAGGCATTCTGGAAATAGTTTTAGGATGTGAGAATAACAAATACAAAGAAAACCTTTCTGGCATTGTATGGGGACAGATGGTAGCTACACTTGTGGTGAGCATAGCAAACATGTAGACTTGCCAAATCATTATGCTGTACACCTGAAACTAAGGTAACTGTGTGTCAACTATATTTCATTTTAAAAAGAAAAGAAAACCATTCTAAATTGTACTCTGCATTTTTAGGTATTCTGTTGATCGACACACAGATATGGACAGAATATTCAACATTGATTCTGGAAATGGTTCAATTTTTACGTCGAAACTTCTTGACCGAGAAACATTGCTGTGGCACAACATTACAGTGATAGCAACAGAGATCAGTAAGTTTAACCTCACACTGCAACTGTCCCCCAATTGACGGAGTGAGTGTCCCGGCAAGGGCGGGGTGAAGCAAGGCTGAAATTCATCACCATGTACTGATAGCCTACTCGATACATATTGAAGGAAAGAGCCCCATAACGATTTGCAGTAATGTTTCTTCTAGGCATGTGTTAACTCATTCACAAATGCAGAGGTACCTATGGATGACCTGTTATTCACAAATAATGAAATGAGAATCCATCTCTCAAATGAGGTTGAATTGGTACATACTGGATTTGATTCCACAAAGCTTTATAAATCAGAACACCACAGAAGAAGCTGAAAAACATGGGCTCATGGTTAGAATTGGGAGGGGAGGGGAATTAAATACATTTAAAAATGTAGGCATTACTTAGAAGTCTTTCAGAGATCTATCCTCCAGCTTTCTACAGAATTTCTATTTCAAAATCATTACAAAAGTAAGAGATATAATTTTTTGCTTTTCCACTGTACACCAAAGTGAGCAATCCAAACCACCAAGTAATCAATAAAATGTTTAGAGCGAATTTTATGGAAGTCCCCATGAAATTGAAGGCAAAGAAAAATAGTGCCAAATGAATGCTTCAAATAAAATGATTATACACAGAGAAAATTGTGTAATGTAAACACAATGTGTAGGCCTAAGTACATGAAAGAAAAAGTATTTTTAAAATAACATTTAAATGTTTAAAAATAGGCTTCCAAATTATAGCTCATTTTTTAGTTTTTGTTTGATTTTGATTTTAAAAGTTCAAATATTTTTAGCTCAGTTGGGTATCTAGTGTGAAATATTCCATATCTAATGGTATATTACAGTAGTATTCTTTGTCAACATTACTCATGAGATTTGAAATGTCTGAAGAATATTGAGTAGAATAATAAATAACCAATATGGACAAAATGAAGCATCGCTTTGTGATAGCATTAAGAACTCCTAATTACAAATTTGTTAGGTAGGAATTTGCTCTTCAGAATTTATGTGGAGGGACTAATGCAGATACCAATGACAGAGCATACTTAAAGCTTTAAAATCACAAAATCATTTTTCACATTGAAAAGGACCATTTTTTATAACATCATGAAATTTTATATTTTATTGAAATAGTCATTTTGTGTGTATTTTAAGCTTTGTGCCTAAAAATTTTTTTTTAAGATTTAATGTTTCTGTGATATATTTGAAATTACTAGCGATAAAGACCTTTTAAAACTTCCTCTTCGGCAGCTCTAACTTTGGAAGAATAATGTGAGCAACATTTTAGAGGCAAAGGAGCTTAAGAATCTTATTGTCTAAACTTCTTAACTATCTTTGATGCAACAGAAGCCCAGAGCTTACATAAAACCAGCCTACTCCCATCCCAGGGCCTTGGCACTTGCTGTTCCCTCTATGTGGAGAGCCAGAAATAGTCACATGGCTTAATTCTTCTCTTTATTTGTGTCTCTGTACAAATGGCATCCCATCAGATGAGCCCGAGTGGTCATCCCACTCAAAGTAGCACCTCCACCTCTCTCCAGTCCCTTTCTCTGTTTAATTTCTCCACAGCATTTACCATCTCATGCATTATATATTTATGTGTTTACAGCTTGTCTGCCCCCAGTAGAATAAAGCTCTGAGATGCAGGATCTTTGTCATGTTCCCCACGTGTCCCAGCACCCCAAAGAGTGGCTGGCATATATTAGACACTAGATGCTCACTAAATATTTATGATGTGAACAAACAGATGTATAAGTGAAGTGAATGAAGAGCGCTGAGCTCAGAGATTCCAACTCCTGATTCTCAGACCAGGAATCTGTCATCCACACTACCCAAAATACTCATTTACACCCCACCCCACCCCTCATCTTCAAACACAGATGCTGCTCTCTCATTATCCTGGATGAACACCTGGGGCCTTGGAGTCAGACAGACCTAAGTTGAAATCTAAGTTCTACTTCTTATTTATCATCTCTGAGAAGATGAACAACTTACCTAACAGATCTGTGCTTCAGTTTCCTCATCTATACAGTAGGGGCAATAACTGTATTTACCTCAAAAGTTTGCAAGGATTAAATAGGATAGTATAGCAAAGGGCTGAGCCCCATATCTAGCTTGTATTCAGCATAAAAACCAAAGAACTAAGGCCAAAACAACCAGTTGGTTTCTTTCATTTCCCCTTGCTCTTTCTCTTGTCCAAATTTTCCCCATCTCCCTGCTTCTTTGGCTTCTCTTAAAATCTGCCTCTAAACTGCCTTTCCTAGATAGCTTTTCTTCATTTTCTGTGACTCCGGGGTTTGCTATACAAAATAGCACTACACTGACACAAGTAGCTTTGTCTCCCAGGTATTTCCAGCAAGTGTATATAACCCCAGAAGTACCTAATTCTTTTTTGTGGCTAAGTTGGTACACAATGCCGTGTGGTACTCAGAGCAGCCTTGGGGAAACTGTGTATGAAAGGAGTGAGTGACTATTATCTTAAAGGGGATTGGTGATCAATATATAAATGCCCATTTCTTTTTGACATGTTGCAGATAATCCGAAGCAAAGCAGCCGAGTCCCTCTATATATAAAAGTTCTAGATGTCAATGACAATGCCCCAGAATTTGCTGAATTCTATGAAACCTTCGTCTGTGAGAAAGCAAAAGCAGATCAGGTGAGTTTCATTAAAAAAAAAAAGTAAATTAATTTAGTCAGATTAATTTAGATCTTCTAATACGCAGAGCTGAGGGTGAGTTTTAAATTATCTATGAAGCAAATGCTAACAAAATTAATACTATAAATAAGGGCCAGAATGAATATTTAACTTGCATAAGAGAACAAATAGTTTTTAAGAACTGGAAGTTCATCATTCTCAGAGACTGAGGCTGATTCAAATCAGTCTTAGGTTTTCATTAAAATAGATTAGTCACAGCTTTATTGGAAAAATCTTAATTGGTGAGCAGATACTTTTAATTACCATATACACTGGAAAGCAATAACCAGAACATATTTTACAATTGCCTATAATTCATAGTTTCACTTATTTATATTGCCCATCTGTACAAGTAATACAAATTCATGAATGTTTTCCTGTTTTATACATTTGTCCCTACCTGAAGTAGGTCTTTTCTGCCAGCGATATAAAAATTATGTTACAGTTTGTCGAAATAGAAGGGCACTGTTAAAGTACATGTGAAAGAGGGAAGCTGAACTTGTATTTTATGTGCAAACTTTCTTTTAGCTTTTATGCAAGTCAATGGCTTACATATTTGTCAAGACTGCATTTCTAAACAGGCTGCGCCCAAAGAATGCCTGGATTTTTTTTAGCTGAAATGTTATCGTAAATCATTGTGATATTTTATAGCTTTGTATTACTCTAGGGCAGTGTTTCCCACCTCCCATGATTTTGCCCCCAGGGGACATTTGGCAATGTTTGGGGGCATTTTTGATCGTCACAAAGTGTAAAGTGCGACTGGTATGTAGTGGGAGGAGGTCAGGCTTGCTGCTAAACATCCTACAGGACCCAGGACAGCCCATAACAAAGCATTATTCCTAGCTCTGTTTCAAACCCGTCAGTTCATCGCGTAAAGCAGATTCGTTGAAAATTCTCTAGAGGCTATTGTTTTTAAGTTAAAATTAGAAATCATTTACTCAAGCAATTTGCTGCAAAACCGTAAGGAACACTTTTGAGTTAGCCAAACTTTATAGCAGCTTTATGGTTTTGATTTTAGTTGATTCAGACCCTACGAGCCATTGACAAAGACGACCCTTACAGCGGGCACCAGTTCTCATTCTCTTTGGCCCCTGAAGCAGCCAGTGGCTCAAACTTTACCATTCAAGACAACAAAGGTGAGTCCAAGTGATCATCTCTGTCGATACATCTATACCTCTGTCTATCTATTAGCATCGCAATTGTTCCAATCCATGATGTGGTACGAACATAACATTCACCACTTTGCTTTCTGGTTCCAGATAACACAGCAGGAATCTTAACTCGGAAAAATGGCTATAACAGACACGAGATGAGCACCTATCTCCTGCCTGTGGTCATTTCAGACAACGACTACCCAGTCCAAAGCAGCACTGGGACAGTGACTGTCCGGGTCTGTGCATGTGACCACCATGGGAACATGCAGTCCTGCCACGCGGAGGCCCTCATCCACCCCACGGGACTGAGCACGGGGGCTCTGGTTGCCATCCTTCTGTGCATCGTGACCCTACTAGGTAAACTGCTTCTCCCTGCATCCTATCTCCCCATGCTGAGGGGCACACACTGTTACTGTGACACTCTAGATTTATCCGCCTCCCCCATTAAGGCATACAGCCCAATCTAGGTGAGTAGAGTTATATGCTGAGAATTTGTTTTGTTCACTCATGAACTAGTTTTTGCTTGAAAATAGCTTTAGAGGATGAACAGATGTGAAACCTGCCCATGTCTTTACCTACCCAGGGAATCATTCCACTAAAAGAATCTCTCGTCTGGCAGACTGGGAATGAGTCCCAGGGGGACTTGAGGGCACCGTCAATATGCCCTTTTCATTTCATTTGTTGTTTACTATTTAACCTGGCAAATATTGTTAAATTTTAAAGAGAGAAAGTCATCTGGCATGGAGGGTGTGGTGATGGCCCTTTCTAAGAAGGTAAAGTTTAAAGATCAATGGGAAAGTGGAAAGAGAAATGTGATGACTTTTTCTCTCTCATATAAGGAAATAAAAAGCGATCAAATTTTCTTCCACCCAGCCAACTTGCTTTGTTCTACCCATTTGAATAACTACCTTCTTAGCATTGCTCCCTGATTGCCACATACACAATGTCTATTATTTCTCAGACTGAATAATAAACAACTTCTGTGACTGAGGAAATAAATCTGAGACCTAAAGGAAATGAATGCAATCAAAGTAAAAACCGAGGTCCAGCAATGATTCAAATGAAATTTTTTTCCCCCAGCCCATGAATTAAATACACAGGTTGGGCTCAAAATGCTCAATAGGCCATTGACTGTTGTGAACTAAGAAATCAAATGCTAGTTAATTCAGTCTTTCCAAAAATCAAAGTAAGCTTGCCTACGCAAGGGGAAGAAAGGTACGAAGTTAAGCGTCAACCTGGACTGCACAAGGGAGAAACCTTTTTTTAAAAATGACAGTATAGCGACTTTTGAGAAGAATAAAGAGTACAAGACCTACATTTCTCCAAGAAGAGAATGCCTAGGGATCCCTGCTTAAGAGCTTCACATTCCATATCAATTTTGCTAATTATAAGTCTTGAAACTTAAACTACAAAACTGTGATTCTCTTTGTCAACGAAAATTTGGGGAAAAGTATTTTAAGATATGAGGATAAATAAAAGCTGACAGTATGCAAAGACAAATCAGTGTTTCTAATGGTGTGAGTCTGTAAAAATTGTTTTGGAAGAGGAGGATATGAATATTCTTTTTGATTAGAAAAAAAAAAAAGGTTGTTTTTAGAAGGGCTGAATTGGCAGGGCTGTAGTCAGTGAGAATTCCATGGACTCTTCTGTGGTCTGTAGAAGGCGAGCTGACTCTCATCTCAAAGAGGTGATGCTTCCTTTCCTTCATCGTTCACCCATTTTCTCCACCACCACCACCACCACCACCACCCAGTTTTTTTTTTTCCTCCTCACCAACTCCCTTTATCCTCTCTTTATCATTTTCTTCCTCTAATAAATTCCCTGTCTCCTAACTAAGGAGTAACTAAGTTACTCCTAACTTGTCTCCATGCTCCCTACATCAGTTCTAGTCTCTTTGGAATTCTGTACCTATTTAAAAAGGAGCTAAATGGGACTGACCCTTTACTAGACTAATACTGTGGGCTACACACTGGCCAAGATGCTTCACAACTGTTCTTCTCATTTAACCCTCAGAACCATCTGGTATACATGTATCTGCATCTCCAATAAGAAAACCAAGGCTCCAAGATGTGCAGTCATGTATGTAGTCAAGTCATACAGCCAACAGGTGGTAGAACAAAGTTCCAAACCCAGGTCTTCTCCCCCTGAGCCTTGGTGCTTCCACACTGCACTCTACTTTCTTTGTGAGCTTACAGAAGGCAGGGCAATTTCCAGGCTGAAAGAGAGCCCGAACTGAAAATGAAACAATTGAAGAAGGTGGAAGCAAACCTGAGATTTTTGTAAGAGAAGGAAAGCCACACGGATATAGGAGGAAATCTGCAGTCAATAAAGTGGATCATGTGGCATCTCTTGTTTTATTTACAAAAATAAAACCACAGTGAAAACAACTACTACATCTCGTGTCTCTATGGTGCTTTAAGAATCTACAAAACTTTCACATTTACTAACTCATTCCTTTTTTTTAAGATTTTTTATTTATTTATTCATTACAGACACAGAGAGAGGCCGAGACACAGGCAGAGGGAGAAGCAGGCTCCATGCTGGGAGCCTGACGTGGGACTCGATCCTGGGTCCCCAAGATCACACCCCAGGCTGGAGGTGGCACTAAATCACTAGGCCACCGGGGCTGCCCTACTAACTCATTCCTGATGACAACATGGGGCACTGTGTTATTGCCTCTCTTTTACAGAAAGAAACAAGACTTAAAAGGGTCAAATTCTTTAAGGGAGCCTAGGCAGCCTGATTTCAAATGCCTTGCTCTCTTCTAACTTTACAATGGGATTTGAGCACAAATTGGTCCAAGCATCCCTCACCCCAAATCTCACTGCTGTCCTCTGGCCTCAGCGGGTAGAGAAAAGGGAAGAGATCAGTTACTGGGAAGAAAGCTATTACTTTCTCAGAATGTATTTCTGTTGTTGTTGTTCCATGTGCTTAGAACTCATTTCTTCAAGTCTATAAAAGTTAGCTTTAAGAAAGATCTCCCTTCTAGAATTTCTGTTCAGATGTACATTGGGCTAAAAAGAAAAGATACAGGCAGTTGTAGCTGTAGGGGAATTAGGAATTAGGCAGTGAATGAATGCCTTTGAATTATCCAATGTGCCCTCTCTCTTCTAGACATTATTACACTTTCTCGGGTGTGCAAAGGACTAAAACAAAAGATACAGATAACTTAAACTGGGGCAGAATTAGGAAGTGATAAATGCCGCTATCTTGCCTTAAATGATGGTATGAACCATTGTACATAGGGTTTAATGCTTTGAGAGACAGTCATCTTGATTCTATTCACTAACTCCAGAGGCCATCCTTAGTGACAGTCCTCTGTTTTGCAAATCCTTCTCATTGGTCACACTGGAATCCACCATAAAGAATAGGTTATTAAGCTTCCCTCCACCCAAAGCCCTGCAGTTTTCCACCCACCCACCCATATCTCAGGGTAAAATGAAGACCTACAGCTTCCAAGCCCCAAAATACATGGCTTTTCCCTATTCCCTTCCTGTCCCCTGACCAGGGCTCCCTGTGGTCCAGCTGTAGCATCTCTTGGCTGTTTGTCAAGCACTCCAGGAACCCTCCCATCTCAGGGCCTTTCTTCTAGCTCTGTCCATTTCACCCGACAGCTCCTTGAATAACTCCCCACACCTTTGCTCATATGTCACTTCCTCAATGATGCAATCTCCTCCTAAAAAACATATACAGTCCCTCACTCATACACAGAAGCACTCTTTATCTTCCTTCCTCTGCTCTACTTTTTGTTTATGGTATACATATCACCTTCTAATAATTTCCTTATTTATTATACACATTATTTGTCTCTGTCTACCACCCCCACCGCTCCTGCCCACCTCCTGATTAATGTTTTCCATTGATAGTGCCTAGAACTGCCCCTGGCACAGACAGAGTAAGAACTACATAAATATTTAGTGAATAAATAAATATATAAATGCCCTGAATGGCTGGGACAAATGAGGCATGAGGATGCTCTTTGGCAGCAAGAGAGGATGTGTACGGTATGTTATACAACCACGCACTTGAAATGGCAACATTGGATATCCTTTAAAAGTAGTCTATAATCCAAACATGCTTTAACACATGGTGATTAAGAGTGTTGGCTTTTTAGTCTGACTTGGATTTCAATTGTTTGTATATGTGACATCTCTAAAACTCAATTTCTCCTATGAAAGATGGTTACTATATTATATAATATATAACATATATAATAAAATGATGATACCTACTTTGTAGGTCTGCTGTGATAATTAAATGAGATTCAGTATATAGAGCACTTAGCACAGTGCTTGGCACACAGAACTCTCTCAATAGATAATTATTATTAATACTATTAACACTTGAAATTTTAATATATAGATATATATGGGTATGGATATATCCATCATTATATAGGTAGATATACATATCCACCAAAAGACATTATTCTGTAACTCTTACTACAGTGTTTCCATTTTTATGGCTCATAAAATCAGGACCATGACATGGATGAGAAAGTAAAAACAGTTACTAGTACTTCCTGTACTAAACAGCCCTGGACCAACCCAGTTTAACGGCGCATTTTCTGCCCTGCATGGCTGTTTCCTCTCTAAGCTGTCGCTATGCTTTTATTTCCCCACCCTTATGTCCATTCGTAGATGCGTCTCTCTACAGGAAGCCAACTGCATTTGACCCAGCCAGCTGTGAAAAACCATCAGGAGTTATTTAAACACAATTCTTGTTGGGCCTCTAATTTGAGTTGGGGGGGAGGGGGAAGAGAAAAAAATCAAAAGAACAAACATTCCAGGCAACAAACTTGGAGAATGTGAACCTTTGAAAGATTCTTTTTTTTTTTCTTTTTTAAAGTTCCCTCTTACATGTGTTTGTTTGGCTACAACAGAAACAAGCTGGTGCCTGGTGCCTGCGTGTCTTAGGACCTGCCCCCTTTCAAGTGGGCTGATCTTGAAGGTCAGAATGGCTTTCTGAACTGTACCTGGGCCTCTCCAGGTATTATCTGCAATAGTGTTTCTTCCATGTAGAAAGGCGTGCAGACATTCACATCTCTACTTTGGGTTTTAATCTAATTTTACAGTTATCTCAGGGAAAAAAAAATTTTAAAAAAGGGAGGCATGGTGCAAAAGTTATTTTAGCTGCGGAGTTATGCAAACCTTCAACACATCCCGAAGGTGCCAGCCTTGTGCTTGTAAGCAGTTTCAGAGCATTTTAGGTGTTCAGCATAATTTGCACTCTCGCTGCGTTTGAGCCTTTTTATGATCATTATTGTCATTTTGTTCTTCTTCCCTTCCTTTGAAACTAGTTTGCCGTTTCAGAGCCAAAGGGAACTAAGTCCTGACAACCTGGGAATGTGTTTCAATGTGGTTCATCCTCTAGTTAAATCGTAACTTTCTTGCAGATATTTGCCCCGCGTTGGGGCGGGGGGGGGGGGGGAGGCTCCTGGGTTGAGCGCGGGTGGGCGCGGGGTGTGCAGCGCCCCGAAGGTGTGCACTGGGTGCCCCCGGGGTGTGCAGCGCCCCGAAGGTGTGCACCGGGTGCCCCCGGGGTGTGCACTGGGTGCCCCCGGGGTTGCAGCGCCTCCGGGGTGTGCACTGGGTGCCCCCGGGGTGTGCACTGGGTGCCCCCGGGGTTGCAGCGCCCCGAAGGTGTGCACCGGGTGCCCCCGGGGTGTGCACCGGGTGCCCCCGGGGTTGCAGCGCCTCCGGGGTGTGCACCGGGTGCCCCCGGGGTGTGCAGCGCCCCGAAGGTGTGCACCGGGTGCCCCCGGGGTGTGCACTGGGTGCCCCCGGGGTTGCAGCGCCTCCGGGGTGTGCACTGGGTGCCCCCGGGGTTGCACTGGGTGCCCCCGGGGTGTGCAGCGCCCCGAAGGTGTGCACTGGGTGCCCCCGGGGTTGCAGCGCCCCGAAGGTGTGCACTGGGTGCCCCCGGGATTGCAGCGCCTCCGGGGTGTGCACCGGGTGCCCCCGGGGTGTGCAGCGCCCCGAAGGTGTGCACCGGGTGCCCCTGGGGCTTGCAGCGCCTCCGGGGTGTGCACCGGGTGCCCCCGGGGTGCGCGCTGGCCGGGCTCGCGGTGCCTGTCGCGGGCCTTAACTCCCTCCCGCTCTGCTCTCTGTGCCCCCAGTGACGGTGGTGCTGTTTGCAGCTCTGAGGCGGCAGCGCAAGAAAGAACCGCTGATCATGTCCAAGGAGGACATCAGGGACAACATCGTGAGCTACAACGACGAGGGCGGCGGGGAGGAGGACACCCAGGCCTTCGACATCGGCACCCTGCGCAACCCCGCGGCGCTGGAGGACAGCCAGCTGCGCAGGGACGTGGCGCCCGAGGCGCTGCTCCCGGCCCGGCGCGCGCCCGCGGCCCCCGCCAGCACGGACGTGCGGGACTTCCTCCGCCAGCGGCTGCAGGAGCACGACCGGGACCCCGCGGCGCCGCCCTACGACTCGCTGGCCACCTACGCCTACGAGGGCGCGGGCTCGGCGGCCGCCTCGCTCAGCTCGCTGGAGTCCGCCACCACGGACAGCGACCAGAGCTACGACTACCTGCGCGAGTGGGGCCCGCGGTTCCGCAAGCTGGCGGACCTGTACGGGGCCGCGGACGGCGACCGGGACTCCTAGTGCGCGGCCCCTGCGCCCCGCAGGACGCCCCAGGTGGCCCGCGGCGGCCCCGCTGCTCGGCCCTGGCCCTGGCCCTGGCCCTGGCCCTGGCCCTGGCCCTGGCCCTGGCCCTGCGGGGCCCGCGCGGCTGCCGGCCCCGGCGTCAGCGGCCGCGGCCCGTGCGCGCCCCACGTTAGACAACCTTTTTCTAGCACACTTTTATGAGCTTCCCAGAGGCATAGGTTTACTTTTCTAGCGCACCCGCCTGACCACGCCCGTCGGCCCGACCGGCCCGACCGGCCCGACCGGCCCGTGCTGGAGGAGGAGAGACAACCAGGAGTCGGACCCTTCCTTCCCGGGCTCTCCTAGGGCGAGTTTGGAACACGCTCGCCGTCCCCGGCCTGGGCCCCTGCACGCTCCGCGGGCCCAGGCCAGCAGGCTGCTCTGACTGCACACTCCGCGTGCCAGCGCCATGAGGCAAGGGGCCTGCTCCGACGGTCAAGGTACAGTTTCGGACAGAGAAGCGAGCGGGGAGCACCGGCCAGGTTGGCCCTGCCCTGGTGCACCAGCTCACAAGGAGATGAATGCCCCGAATGTGGCTGTGTACTGGGGCTGTGTTGCAAAGGATTTACGATGGCATTTGCCCGTCCTGTTTTGTTCTTCAGGAACTTTATCTGGCACCGACGACTATTGCAAACATCCAGTCCACCGACGTTTTAGGACTCTTGGTCCTCTTTAGGACTGCAAGCAAATTAAATGGCGACGTTCAAAAACAGCAAGCAAACAAAATGTAGTAGTACCTCATTCCTTGCCACTAACTCATACTTTGTTATATACGACACCTGCAAAAGTTTGCCCTTGCACCATATAAAGAGAAAGGGAAAACAGCTAATGATGTTAACGAAGGAAATATTTGGCGTATTTTAAAGTTCGGGCCACCAAAAGTACCACAGATCACTCAAAATTATTTCAACCATCAGTAGGCTAATTACAAATAAGTCTAATTGTTAAAAATTCTTGAAGGAACTCTTCTGAGACAAATTTTAACTCCTCGTCTGTAGTTGTTGTCAGTATTACTCTAATATACTTGAAAGTAGCAGCGTGACGTACAATAATCCATATTCTTCAGATACTTCGTACACAATTAAGTTGCATTAGTAAAGATAGATTAAATAAAACTCAAATCCCGCCCTCAGAGTTTAATGGGGAAATGAGAGCCGGCCACACTTGAACTTGATATCCTGTCCTCCACATCTGGGAACATCTATATATTTATATGACATGATCTAGATATATTGTTGAGATCATAGTGCAAAACTACATATTACATGTTTGGAAGACGCTTACATAGGGACAAATTTGATTCTCTCCAGTAAGAGTGTTTAAGATTGTATTAAAATGATAGTTGACTTTCAAAAGCATTAATATTTTCTCATTGTTTTTAACTTTGTTGCTATGGCCACCCTGCCATCCTTGTCTTTCAACTAATGATAAAGTAGTGGTCTCATACTGCAACGGAAAAGTAATGTACAGTCCATCCAATCTATTATTTCTCTAAGTATGCAATTAGCATCATAGTTATTATCCAGAGGACCCAACTGAACTGAACTAATCCTTTTGGCAGGTTCAAGTCATTTATTTCATATGGCTGTTCTAATGATTTGTATCATTAGAATCCTACATTGTTCAATCATCAGAAATTTCCAAAGTACTGTAATGAAAACATAGTTGTCTTGAAAACTTTAAAAAAAAAAAACCCAAACCCAGGCTCTGTGTGTATATATATACACACACACACACACACACACACACACACACAATTATGTACTTAAGAATATGCTGACTTCAATTATTAGTCTTAGGGATTTATTTTCAATTAATGTTAATTTCCTACAGATAATCTTAATGTCATTTCCATTTGGAGATCCTGTCATATGAGCACATACCTTCTATTTGGAAACACACTTGTATTAAGTTTTAAATAGGTGTGTTACCCAGGAAGTAAAGACGGCACTTTCAAAATAAGAGAAATGTAGTCTTTTGGGTCACTCAATTAGAGTGAAAAGGTTTTACGACCATATTCTTCCCTGCGTTTACCGAATGGTTTCCTCTTTTATAACAGACTTCCCTGTATACATACTAACAAGTATTTCATGTTTTCAGGGTTTACTTTTGCTAGTTCTTCCTACACATGCAGGAATGCAAACAAAATACTACAGGAGGGTTTCACTATAATGAATATCTTAGTCACAGTTAAGTGTTGCAAAAAAGATAGCTTAGGGAAGTTAATTAGTAAGAGCTAGTTATTTATAGCAATAGAAAACCACCTTAATCACACGACTTACTGTAAAACTAAAGAGCTCTCTGTCCTTATGTTTCATGTCATGTAATAAATTGAATCAAGAAAGATAGTACTGTAAAAAGAGAGGTATCATCAGAAGTCTTCCTTTTGAACTTTTGGGTTAATTGGAATGTCTGAGGGTCGACACTAGCAACTTCCACTGTTTAAGGGTAAGGTTTATTCTTTCCCCGTAAGTGAAAGTAAGCAGTTCTGTAATGGAATTCAAGATATAATTGGCAGGGTATATTATCCCATCTTGAAGATGGTACAGTGGACCAAGAACAAGTTAATATGACTAAATATTTGAAATAACTGCCTAATCTCTTGCCACAAAACCTGATGATGAAGTGAATCTCTAAGAAATTGGACAATTTAAGACTAGTACAAGGTCCTATAAGTATTTTTCCTATAATTAAAACTCTCTGATATCCTGGAGATCATGAGAGCCATACTTCCATCATTCTGTGTGGGTCTCACTTCCTTCTCACCAAGATATTGAGTCAAAGACCCCAGTCAACATGAATGATTACTGGAGCGAAAAAAAAAATAGTTTTTGGCTCAGTTTTCACAAAGTCCCCGTCCTGATATCAGATGTTAGTGACAAGAAGGATGGAGGGAAAATGGGAAGAGGTAAAATTTAATATCTGCTTTGGTAAATAAGAAACTAAAATTCATTAATTATAAGCAGATCACTTTAGTGGATTGCTTCAAGGACTCTGAGGCCCTTCTGAAATTTTTTCCCTTTCATTCAAAGGGGAGAGTTTCTTCAAGATGCTCCCTAAAACAAGCTGCGATTTTTTAAATGTTAAGCTATCGTGCATAAGTTTACAACCTCTTCACTTCATAGCCACTTTCTGCTGAAAGACCTAAACATTTGTCCCCAAATAAAAAAATGAAATCAAATGGAAGAAAAGATGGTTCCATGGAACCATCTGACAGGAGCTCTGAGCACAGTAAATAAATGTTTTTGTTTTTTTTTTTTTTACAGAGCTTTCTTAGCTTTAAGTTTAGTTGCATACAGGGAGTTTCAGATACAAATTGACTCCATTTTCAAATGTAACAAAACCTGGCAATTCAATTTTAACTCATTAAAAAAAAATGTTGGCTTAGTGTTCATTTTTAGCTTCAAAAAAGTTGTACAAAAATTCTTTAAAAGTTGAATCTCTATCTTGGAAGCATCCAAATTATACGAAACCAAATTAACTTCAGAAAATTTCCATTACTTTCATTTCTAAGTACATAAATATTAGATGTCCTGATTTACCGAGCAATACCTTCCATCAAACACTTTGCCTTGAAACGGGCATTTCATTGCAGATGATCATGTATAAACTAAGAATTAAGAATTCCTCAATTCTACATACTTGAGGGCCATAAAAGTATGCAGTTGAAAGGGAAAAACAGAGTTGATTCGTGGACACAAACTATTTAAATCACCCAAATTCATCTTCCCCAGGAACCAAACCACCAAATCAATGATCTTACCCTAGTCACTAGTTTTGAAGCAATATAATTACTTTGGAAGAACACTCTAGAAAGTCATGATGCCCCACTATTTTGAAAGATATCCTATTAAAAAGGATCATTTTAGTGTAATTTTATTTTTTATGATTTCATCTAGATGAAATCTTTTTTGAATTGTGACAGGGGATTAAACAGCCAAGCATTTACATTTAACACTAAAACCCAGCCTCCTTTATCAGATTATAAAAGTGGAAAGAGTAAGACTTAGTGTACAGACCTTCAGGAAGACGAACTATTTTCCAAAGTCCAACAAGCAGCTTTCTTTTCCAGAGAATACAGAATTACAGTATGGTCACCTTAAAAGTTCAGTGACTATTACGTTTGCAGCATTTTTCATCTCCCTTTGGCATCTTTATGGAATAGTTTTCTAAAGGGGCAATTCTCTACCAAAAATCATCAGACCCTGATCATATTCAATGTGCAAAAGAAAACCCTCTTAGAAAGGAAAGACATTGACTCACACACTTGTTAAAAGTCAATAAAGAAATAGCTCATTTTTAAAGCCAGAAGTTTATGGTCTCTGCATCGTCAATTTAATTTAAGCATTGCTGAGACGATCTTTAATCTACTCCCCATTTTGTAATACCTTATTTATGATGCATTTTCGTTTTTTAATTTGGGGGGAACGTTAGTCCGACAGAAGCCAGCAGATGAAAGTGCCAAAAGGAGGTCAAATGGAAACAAAGCCTATTACCCACTGTATTTCAGACAGGACCGAGGCACTTAGCCTGAGAGCCACTGGGTTATTAGATTAATTTCAAAAGAGCTTTTACAAGTTGCTTAATTCCATTTTTTTTTTTAAACCCATGGACCACAAACTCAAATTTCTCTTCAAATGGGGTTAATTTGACAAATGAGGCATGGACCCAGCGTTGTGGAAAAAGCATTCCACTATAATGAGATCTTGGTCTTTCTTGCGAGACTATGTTATTTATGTAAATATGTCTAGAGGCACCTTCTATAAGCTTTTAGTTTTCTATGATCTATTAGTTTAGTGTTTATTAAGGAATCAGATGTATAGAATTGCTAGGCATTCAGGGGGAATGCTGTGTAGCAAACAAACCGATCTGCTCTCGGAAAAAAAAAAAACAAAAACATAGGAACACTTCAAAACCACCATATTGTTTTGTTTGTGATTATTTTCATTGCTTTGAAAGTAAACTGCATAAGAATAGGCCTTATAATAAATGCTACGTGCGTCTTCAGTAGTACCAAGCTAAGGCAATTTGGCATTCTCCTACTGTAATTTGTGATTTTAAATCCAGAAAATAAAAGCTTTTTGGTATTGATTGTTTTTAATTAAAAATACTCCCAAGTATAAATTGAAGCTGATGCCACCCTTGAAGATTTACTGGCTGGAATGCTCAGTCACACAGTTTTTCTCAGTATCGCCTATATCTGGCGATGAGAACACCTGAGAGAAACCACCACTGCTCAGCTTTCATCAACATTTCTAGTTGGGGAGATTTTCATAACTTCACAGTTTACATGAGAAAGCTTCCTGTATTAGAAGGAGAGGTAAGATGATTACCTTCAAGCGCAGTGTGGCCGGGCCTTTTGTGTAGTCAAATGGCAAATACACGCTCCTTGAAATGGCTTCTTTTATTTTCCTTTGTTTTCTTAGACTATAAATTTGAAAAGAATGCAATTTAAAAAGTGATTTCTCACAAAGAGTAAATATGCCTTTTGCAAATCAATTTTTGTAACAAGTTATTTATATGATATTACTTAATAAACTGTTTTTTTCTAAGTTGTTTTTTTCCAATTCTCTCAAGCTATTGTTTTTAATCAGAGATTTCAAAAAAATGTACCTGCCGATACACACTTTATCTTTCCAAATCTGCTGTTTGAACCTCTCAAATAGCTAACTAAAGCCAACTTGTTATACGATAATTAGCTTGTAAACAATAGTTTCTCCCAGCCAGCAATATACATCATTGGTGCTGCCCTGCAGACTCCTTACTGCTGGGGCATCAAGAATTTTACTGTTATTTATGGAATTGCTGTATTAAGAAGAAAGCTGTTTTTCCTCATGGTAATTGCTTTAGATAAAAAAAGACAGTTCTATATTTTTGCCCATCTCAAATCTCCATCCTTTATTTCACTCCCATAGAAAAAAAAACAAAAAAAACTATGGATCTCTGATTTAAAAAAGAAAAAGCAAGAGCCAGACCAGAGGGAAATAAGGATAAAATCCTTCCAGAATTCTGATACTATGAGTAAATAAAATGTTTTTAGCATATTCAGAGCTATAATATTTCATATGCTTGCTCTCTTTTAAGCTGTCTCCTATTCTCCAATTTTTACAGAGGCTGTTTCATAACTTTTTAACTGAGAGAATTCATAGCTTTGCAAAGGAGACTTTCATTAATTCATTCATTTGTTCAGTAGTAGGCAATCCACTGTGTGCCATGAAATATTCTACAGTAAGACAAATAGATATATTTTCCCTTCTCCTCAGAAGTTCATGGTCCAGGAGGAAGGGCTGCCACAAACTCCTAACTATAGTGTCCACCAGAAGGTGGTGGGGAGATGTCTTCAGAGAGGGAGAGATGCAAATGTTCACAGGAAGAAGAAACTGTTTCTGCCCAGGTGGAGGAGTGTGTGGGAGGTTTAGGAATTCATAGGACTGAGATAAAGGGAGATAAGAAATAAAGAAGAATAGCAGGGGAAAGAAAGAAGAGAGAGGGATGTTTAAGCAATGCCACCGATCTTAGCTGAGGCTCCCTCGAAGGGGAAGAAGCTTGGAAAAGTCACAGGGCACCAGAACACAGAGGGTCACTTACCATAGCAGCTGATTTTTGTTGTTTTTTGTGGGGCTTTTGCCATTGGGTTTAAAGTTAACTTGGTGGGAGCCAGAACCCCGTGGAAAGGAATGATGGTATTAGAAATACACGTTTTTGAAGGATATGTACATTGCACAGTAGTATGCACAATGTGCTAGAGCTAAGCCCCTCCCCTGCACACACACACACACACACACACACAGCTCTTCACCACTGCAAGGCAATCAGAGTCTGCAGGATCTAGGAAACTTCCTTGATGTGATGGTTAAGGTAGGCAGGAAGGGCAATGTGCTGTCAAGGACCCAGTTCAGAAAGCGGTTTCCTGCAAACATTTAGACAGCCTAACCCATCTCCCATCACCAAAACAAACCACTTCCCATAACAGTGGTTTGTATTAGTATGTATTAGAATAATTTACTCTAGCTGCTGCAACAGACAAAATCCAAAATCTCCATTAAAAAAAATCTCCATAAAGTTTGTCTTACCCTTATGGTGTTTTGGGTTGGTTGTGAGCCTTTCTCCTTGTAGCTCTGCCATTTGGAGCACACTGCCTCCAGGGTTTACATGGCAGGAGAGGAGAGTTTGCTGGATGATCATATGATATATTTCTAAGGGGGCAGGACCTAGTCATCACTTGTAGCACTTCTGTTCACAATTCATTGGCCAGAACTCAGTCGTATGGTCCCACACTACATGGACAGAGGCTGGGAGATGTAGACAAACACCTGTGTATTGGGCGATACATTCTGGTGAGTGTAACGTACATGTAAGATATACTTAATATGCATCTGCCACTTACAGGCTCAGTGTCTGTCAGTCTTGCAGTATTGTTCCCAAATCCCTCCAGTTTCAGTCATCCTAATAAGCCACATCTCATAATAATCATGAGGTTGTTATCAAAAGAGAAAGTTAGGAAATCATGCACAAATTCAACCTTCAACTTGAAAACCCCTCTAAAGGAAGTTCGTCTACCATCCCTGATCTCAATGCCCATGGCAGATATTTCTAATCAGTGCATTCATAGATCTTCCAGATATAGCATTAGAACACCTAACAGGAATGCCCCAATGATAGAATAATACTGACCCATTTGGTATCCCAAACCTAAGAGATTAAGTTCTCCAGTGAAAGACTAGTTTTCTTTCTAAGTTTTGTTGACTACCCATCAGTGATATTTGGGAACAGCATTACGATCCTGAGATTGTCAAAAATTTGAAATAATTAAGGAAGCTAAAAGGCTTCACTTGCCATTATAAGTAGCCCACATCTTTATTTCATAAATCTGAGCCAACAAGCATATGTCTCTTTGAACAATTGAGATATTAATTTCAGCTTGGGGAATGCATATCCCCTCAGTGATACTCCTGAATTTCTGCATTCATTCTGCAAAATTCATTTGAGAATCTATAATGGGCCAGGCACAAATCAAGGTGATAGGGTTATAGTGGTAAGAGACAGATACACTCCCTGCTCTATGCATACCCTTCTCTCAAGGACTGCCATGATTTAATCTCCCATTATTAATCTTAGTTTGCTTGACTAAACATTTTATACTGAATGACACCCTAATTCTTTAGATCGCTTTTCTAGGTCTCATATTCCTGAATTCAATACTTTTCTAAATATGCTATGAATAGATATGGCTCTTTTAAAAAAGTAGATTGTCTCCTACTTCTGTCTATAATATACTTATTCCTTTTTTTAAATGTCTTCCTTGACATATTAGATCATCTTTATTGCTTCCTGAGCCATTTAGTCGCAAAAACTAAACTTTTAATGGCAAATATGTCTTGTTTGCACATTGGTAAGAAAATGTCTCCTTATAGTCAGTAAAGGATAGGTTTTATTAAGGCTTTTAACTTTGCTTAGCTGCCTGATAATAATGCCTTACTTTTATATAGCACTTTAGAAATAACTGTTATATATATGACTTAATATAACTTTCACAAAAGCCCTGCACAATAGGCTGTATCATTCCCATTACACAAACAAACAAAGTGGGGTCATTTGTCCTGAGGTCCCATCACAGGAATTAGAATTAAAATCACTTTTTTAACCCAAGCGCTGTAAGCCTGCCACTGGACCCTACATTTTCCTCTTTGTATACATAATCCAATCTCATCTGTTTGAGAGAAATATTTATTGGGAGTGGAAAAGGGTTCTTTTTTCCTTATACAAATTCAGATGAGGGTGGATTCTGCTGATGGCTGTAGTAGCCTCAAAGGCCTTTCTACCTATAAGTTCAGTCCAAATGCTCTGTGAAGGAAAAAAAAAAAAAAAAAGCCTGAGAAGAAAATTCTGCCTATTGATCCCAATTATCCAACTGATTTCCATCATAAAATTAGAAGTGTTCCCAAAGAAAAGTATTCCCAAGAAATATAAAATTCCACCCAAGACAGCAAGAGCTGTAGCTGTATCTGTGATAATAATCTTGACAGTATTGGTATTTCAGACATCAAATTGTGGTAAGCCCTCTGTAGGGCAGCAATGCCCTCTAACAGGACAGGGAAAAGGCAAGGAATGAGGACTTCCTAGCACTCCTTAAGCATTTCAGATTCCATAACTGAAGCAGGAGCTGTGGAAGGAGAGGGACTTGCTCTGGCCTCGAGCACCCATTAAATCCTGGTACCCTCTCCAGTAATATGGTGTCTGTGATAGCCCCGGAAAATCCCCAGCCCAGTGAGGTGGTGTCCCTGTGGCAGAACAGTAGCTATAAATCTTTGTTTATAAACAAGTAATGTGTTTTCCATATTTTTCTATAACTGAGCTCAATTTCTCTTTTGAACCTTGATTCCTGCGAGCAGCAGAAAGTCAACTTTAGTCATTTGGGGTTTCTTTCTGCAAGCCTTCCTGATATTACCACTAATTCTAAGAAGTTATGGTGACATAGAGAGCTGGGGTTAGCAGGAAGAGAAGGCAGTCAGGGCTTAAAGCCAACCTGCTCAGGGAGCTGGGAAGGGTGGGTGGATCCTACAAAAAACAAAACAAAACAAAACAAAAAACCAGAAGAATTCTCTTAGCCCTCCCTGTTGGTCCTTCCACCTATCACAAAATGGGGAGGCTGAAGTTTATTGATCAGAAATGTTTCTTTATGTTATTGTCATTACTTCTCATTCTCAGAAGGTCAGGATCAAAAGCTTAAGAAAGACACCTGATTGTCTCCTGACTTATGGCTGCGGCAAAGATTCAGAAAGAGCTGAAAGTTACCACGGAATGTCACTATTTCAAATTTAATGGGAATTTATAACAGTATTTTCTTTTGCTTTACTGTCTCAAGCATTACAAAAAGTATTCATTTATAGTATTAAAATATATTAAATAATATGTTAAGACTGAGCCAGTTTTCAATGATTTCTGAACGAATGAGAACTTTCCTACGTACTTTATATGTAAAATACAGTTTTTCTTTACCATAAGTCAAGAAGATCATATGACAAAGTGTTTTTTGATTTGTGAATACATTTACATGAAAAATCTCACAAAGTTACAAAAATTAAATCACAATTGAATATATATTTAACAAATGATTTATACTGAAAACAATAAGCATGTTAAATCCAGACTGTTTGGTTCCCTTTGGAGCCAAAGAAATATATCTACCTTAAAATAATTTGACAAAATGACACCAAAATTCAAATGATAGCTCTCGGGTGAGAAAGGTTGAGAGGCTGATTCCAGCATTAAGACTTGAGCTGGGCCTCCAAAGGAGCATTGGAACCTACAGCAAAGTCATGGGGATGCTTCTCGAAAATGTAAATTCCCCGGTCCCACTCCAGAATCAGAGGGCTATTTTATGTTCTTCACTGACCGTAGGCCATTCCAAATTTTGGAGGCTCTCCATCTTTCATTATAGGAAACATATTAAAATGTACCCACACTTTGCCTCAAAGACATGAATCAAGTTGCAGTTTACTACTTTACATAATATATAC